GACATAGTCACTTTAACATCTTTTTCGTACGTACTTTAAGTAGGAAAAAACAGCGGTAAACAGATAGGTTCGCAAGAATTGTAGAAAATACCTGCCACTGATTTGTCGTTTTTTATATTAAAAACTGGAAGGAGACTGGGGTTTCCTTTCCGGTCCTTGCTAGTCACATAGGGATGGAAAAACTACCCGTATCGGCTGAATAGTTTCTATTCGGTTAGTCAATTTGAAACTCTTTTACCTTAAAGCCAAGCAATGGAATTTCATAACTAATTTCTTGATCTTGGTATGTGGTTCAAGTCATTAAAATACTCTTTGCAGATCGAAATGAGTAATTGTAACCGTAAATTTTAACCTCGTAGATAGATGTTCCTGATACCTAAAACGTAGAAGCGTAGCGAATTGTATATTGTCAATACAATAGTATTGAAAAACTTTAGGCACATTCACGTGCCATAAAGTACTGTTGGCGTTGGGTGGTGATAATGTTGATGCAAAACAAACGAAACGCATTCAACCACCTCTGTGCAGTAGGCAATGAGACACACCTATTGTGTGAGGACTAGTGATGCTATCTGGCTGCCCAAACCTCGGTAGGTGGAGCGGAGCTCAATCACGTGGTCCACTGGTTGACAGTTATTTCCCTAAACGACTGAGCCGCAGCATGTGTTGATGCACTCTTAGCTGTCTTTCGTAGCATTTCCTAATTTCATGCATTACTCACTAGGGATCTTAAGGATGCTATAATTGGTCATGTATTAAGAAAGGATAATAGATAACTAGTCACCAATTGTCGACCTGCCAGTTTTCTAGTATCATGGTTAAGATAATGGAAAAGATAATATGTGGTGGGGTATTAATGCATTCAGAAAACATAGCCTACTGACACAGGAGCGATATAGCTGTCAGGATGAACACTTGTTTAACTTATCTACCCCTAGTGAGGGAGGACTGGGCTAGCGCTAGGTAAAATAAACTCGCTATGTATGAGGCGTTTCTAGAATTTAGCGAGGTTGTTGACTAAGTGTTGCGCGCAGCGTTAATGAAGGAGCTTTATAAATCCTGTATTGACAATGAGGTCCGAGCCCGGATTAGATTACATTTGGTGAGAGGAGACGAAAGTTAAGTGCAAATGAAATACGCTCTGCGTGACAACCTGTTATCCCGACCGATAGCTGCCACCTCGACGTTATGGTTGGGCTTCTTTATCACGTCGACCCAGCGAGCTATGCTGATGGGACGCTTAATCCCTTGAGGTCCTACCATACCAGAAAGGTCTGTTAGATAGTGGTTAGACATGGACCAGTTCCCCTAACATGTTCTTAAACAAAGAGATGATGCACTATGTTGGTTTAAAACAGTCATCAATGATCAGTGGTGATCCGAAACTACTGGGCGTATGTCCCACTACATCTCTTATAGTACAGACCAGCTGTCATGGCATCAAAAAGGCCGTACATGAGCGGCCCCAAGCAGATTTCCCCTGAGATCTGCTGTCATGTACCGACTCTTCGTTTTCAGGTGCCTCAAGAAGACCTAAGCTTCCGACATGTCGACAGTCGGGAAGTGTCAACCACCCTCACAACCTTAGACAATTCTTTTGACTTATTGAGGAAACGGACGAAAAGGTCAGCGGTTAGTAAGACTATAGCAGAGAAGGATAGGCTTGGAATTCAATTTCAGGAAAGACGACTGAAATGATGGATGGATCAGTTTAACTGGCTTCCAGCCACTATTGCGTTGCCCACTATCCATTCGCATCCTGAATAGAACACTGAGATAGACCCTCTAGCACTTGCAGAAGTGGAGAAAGCGTTAGGAAACTTGAAACGAGGAAGGGCAGCAGGATCAGAAGAACTAATTCCTTATGTGTATAAGGCTGGTGGTGGTGTGTTTTTAATCAGGTCAACAGAACTGTTAACTAGTGTTTGGGAGTCAAATATAAACCCCTCTGACTAGTCTCAATCACTTATTATCCCAGTCTTCTAGAAAGCCGAGAAATCCTCTTGTGGTTGAGCGTGTTAAACATTTCACTTATCTGGGAAGTCGGATCAGCCCTGGTGGGTCAGTGGCTGACGAAATCTCTGCGCGGATACAAAAGGCTCGGTTGGCTTTTGCCAACTTACCCCATCCACGGCGTCGCAGCGGTATCCGATTGTCTATTAAGGGTTGAGTGTACTCCGCTGCAACCCGCTTTGTCCTACTGTATGGATGTGAAACAGTCATTGAAGACAGAAGATACAAGAAGGCTTCTGGCGTTTGAACACCGTTGTTTTCTTAGCATAAACCGTGTTTCGTGGTTTCACCACGTGAGTTACGCAGAAGTCAAATGTAGTTTCAGGCAGGAGAGGTAAGTTAGTTGATGTTGTGAACCTTCATCGACTGAGATAGCTGGGACATATGTTACGTATACCTAGCCACCGTCTGCCTCGTCGCATAGTGTTTTCCGAAGTAGGTTCAGGCTGTAAAAGGGCTCGGGGCGGCCAGGCTAAAACATGACATCAATGCGTAAAGTCCTTGACTGTTGGTTTGAGCCATGTAGGGCGGTGCAGACTAGCGGGTTGGGGTCCGTGAGATAAGAGAAACCGGTGGTTGGAGACTCTAGGTGATCACATGGCTCAGAACCGATGTCAGTGGTGCAGATGTGTACACACATTATCCTCGTCTTAATCGCCATAATTAACCATCATTCTCTCTTTCTTCCTTCCTCTTTTATTGCTTTCTACTTTCGATTGGTTTTTCTTTCTCCACCTTCCATTCTATTGACTTGTTACTTGATATGCTGATATTAAGTATGGGAACTTGGACCGTTACGCACTAATGTCTTGTCCTACATTGATTTGATGATGGTGGCAATCTGTTACGAGTGGTATTCTCAGGGCAGTACTATTAGGCCAATACTCTACTTTCTTTACGTAGATTAGGTAAATCATCATTTTTATTTGCTCGTGACCTCAAAATATGAAGGATCATTCACGTTGATACTGATGATGATAGGAAGGATTGCAAGCTGGCCCAGATAGACTGGTTTGAATGCTCTAAGCGATAAAGTCTGGAAACCCATTTCAGCCAACGTGCGACAATAGACAGTGGGAGTGTCTACTCTATTGGACACTCACTGAGTGATGAACCACCAATACCTCAGAACTTTTAGAGCAAATAGGTTTAGAGGTTTTCGTAATTCATAACCTAAAGGTAAGCACCAATTGTAATCACTTCGCAACTGATGCATTTCGCAGACTTTGGTGGCTTTGTAGAACATTCGTATGCTATGAGGAAGACAGATTTATGATTTTTTACTTCACTTATTCAAGCTCCACTTAGAGTATCGTTTCTAGATGACTAGTCTATACTTCAAAAAAGGAAGGCCATGCATTAGAGTGGGTTGAAAGCGTTGCCACTAAACTGGGAATAGGTATGACCTACCTTCCTTGTGGGTAACGTTTAGCAAAGCCAAACCTTTTTGCTTTATTTTAGGAAAGTTGGACTGATTTTTGCCCTTTGTATCTTGAACAATGACTTAGGTATCAATTTATCTTACTTCTTTACCCCCTCTAGGACCAGTCACCCAAGAAGAAGACCGTAAAGCTCCTGTTGAATCATCTCTGAGTGAAGTAGCCGTAGAGTGGTCAGCAACTGGAACTCATTACAGAAATAAGTGGAAGTGCCCCCTTCTATGGACACATTCAATGAAAAACCGAGTGTTCATAGCAATAACTACTGCGAGTTTGTGCAGTTCAGTAGCCTGTTCCCCTTCTCACTTGACACTGACTGAAATCCTGCGAATAAACCGCTGTACTCTGACTAGTCGTTTCAAGATCATTTAAAAGCCACTCTAGAATTGCAGAGTTCTTTAGTTTTCACCTATGAAAACGTTGGCTATGAATTCATCGCCTGTTCTTCGTCGTATACCTTCGGTTTTCGGTTTCTTAGCATTAATTAGGCGGTAATCTCGTGATATTTTAGGCTGACCAATAAAAGTCTATTCTGGTATTTGCACTTAGATTGTGTGTAAGCATACGTAAATGACATATTAGTTGCCAAGACATTTTCTTATCTTTTGATGTAATTGGGCGCCTAGTACGAATGTTTGGAAAAAATAGTGGCTTTATTCTGAAAGCTAAAGTATCTGGAGGAGCCCTCATCAATAGTTGCACATACTTTTAACAATATTAGGTGGAAATAATTTCAGATGTTTTCAAACTTAGTGGGTTCAGTGCTTACCTTGAAGACATCAGTTTCTAAAATGTAGATGTAAATATAACTTCACCTTGTGTCCGAGAGAGGGTGTTTTGCATTTATTAAAGTGTCGTGAAAAGTTTGAAGTATAGTAGTTTTGTTGATAGGCTGGGGATCAAACATACCTCACCGTTATATTACCGAGATTTCTCTTTGAACAGGACAGTCTACAGGTATACATAACCAGTTATCATATCATTGGATAAAGCTCATAAAATGGCATTCACAAGGGGTATCTTAGGATACTTTGTTGGTATTAACTCAGGGGAAGTAGTAGAGGTTACTTTTTACAAATAGTCAGTAGAATATTGACACTTACAACACTTGTTCTAAGCCAAGCACTTGAAAACGTTATTTTTTTGCAATTTTTATAAATGCAAGTTATGGATGGTATGAAGTTATCTATGATATGAATATGAACCACAAATTCTGTTCTGAACATCATCCATTGAAAAGAAGTACTGCTACTGTACGGGAGATATCCAACTAACAAATTAATATGAAAGAATTGCCAATTCGTTATGCAGTATTGTTGTTTATCTCTTTTTTATTTCCATTCGTAATATGCTCTGTTACTGACTATGTTGGATCACCGTGGGAAAACAACTTTGAAGTATTATCTGTCTTCTATCAAGAAACTAACTAGTTTGGCAGTTGAATGATATATTTGCATGGTCATTGATGTTACTTCCTAGGTAACTTTGTTGAAGTAGGTGAGCTTTATTCGGCCAGTGCGTTTGGCATAGCTTATTCTGTCGATTTATTGGAGCGGTACTGGTTTCACTCATTGTTTCAAAATATGTACATCAATGGGCTGTTTATAATTACTGTTAGTCATGTTACCGATACATGCAACTCAGGTTGTCTTATAAAGAGAAGGTCGACTGTTGAACTGAATATGTCACGTTGGGAGATTCTACTTGTGTTTTCATGAGAATTTATGGTGACTAATTTCATTTATAATTTTCTGTCATATCTTCATTCTAGTTTTCACTGGTTTGAATATGACTCCGTTTTTATCAAAAAAATGTGTTTTTCATTTCTAGCTTTGTCCATCATTTTAACGATTGTACCTTGACTTACTACCGTATATTCTGCTGAATCTCAGAGATGCTTTACTATCGTAAGCAATCAAATATACAGCGATTTCATCATACTTGTATTTACCATAATTAGTTAAATGCATGTTTGTTGTTTTTAGATGTCAGCACATGTCTCTCAGACACAGTCCATCAAAGAATTACTCGATCGTTTTTTTCACGGTATTCTATTCGCCAAGTTAGATGATCAGAAAATCCTTTCGGTAACTACAAGAATGATTTTACCCTTTTCCTAGAATGCGATACCACTCACTGGTAAAATAAGTTTCGGTGATTCAAGAATTACTTATAGTGATGCTCTCTATTTATTTTGTCGTCTCGAAAGAGATTACGCATCTCTGCATGTATTTCCCAATAAATCTTTATTCTCCCGAAAAGAGGTAAGATTTTTCTCATTGAAATTATCCTTTTATCACAGGATTGTCTAAATTCGTATAACTCTTTACGTTCTGGATTCGATGGTGTTTGTAACACCCCGAATTTGTCGAAGGCTGAGCATGAATTATCTGACCATATGCGGACACTTACTGCTGCTCGAGCACAGCTAATAACATTGTATCCTTTTACATTACTACTTATTGTTCATTAAGGACTTAAAGCAGTCTCTTATCAAGCAAGTAAAATAACTTTTGTGTCTTTTCCTGTGTCAGTAGTGAGTGGTTTGCAGATCTAAACCAACTGCCTTATTTAGTTTCGATAAAGCTACAAAGTTGACAATAGTGAAACCTTATACCGAAAGCATTGACTAAACTATAAGTAATTTGCGTTCTTTTTGGATTTATCCAAACGCTTTAGGTGATGTCGAACATATGTAGAAGCTGCTTCCCTGTGAGTGGTGCATTATTTTTTGTTTGCAGTGTATTGTTATATTGTGTAATGTTAAGTTTCGCCCAGTATTCGTGTTAGTTCTCTCATATATCTGTTTAATAACGCATCTGTCTTTAATATACTTGTTTACCGTTGCTTCATAGTTTTACTCATACATTTTGATGACTACTATTTGCGTTTACACTTTGATACAGTCTAAATTTGAACTTTACGTGAACTTCTAATGTTTTCTCAGTAGATAATTTAATCTAAAGGACTTATATTTCTTTAACAAGTACACCTGCGGATACAGAATACCATTGTTTTGGTTCAAATGTATTACTGATTGGATCAAATTGATCGGTCTCTATTTGGCGTATGAGCTCCTGCTTGGATGCATCGGTATTGCCAATGTTTTCAATTTTGATATTAATGATTCCACTATCAGCCAATACCCATCATTGATTTATCTTTTTTTATTGATAGTCTCACAGTTGTTGAGTGAAATGTCACATATTTCCTTAATTTATCGTGAAAAAGTCATTAGGTCGACTTCTTTTGCAAAATGGGAACAGCTGCACATGTAGTCCAGGCAGGATGTATTAAACGAAGCATGATTTTCGTTTATCATGTGTAGAACAGATATCTTAGAAACTAGTTTCCTTCAAAATCGGTGGTCACTTCTTGACCGTTTCAACTTCGACACATTTTCCGATTGGGATAGCACTTATTAGTAAGCGTAAGTATATTGCTTTCAGATGTGTTCAGAAACTAAACATTTCAATTTACTGATGAAGTTCGTAGCAGTTTCCAGATCTTGGTGTAGAGTTTGTGTAAGTGATAGGTTCCACCAATTCCGATCGACTTTTATTCCTCTTATAATACAGAATAATTCTTGTCTTATTCTCTAACTAAGTATGCAAAAAGCCGCAGAGTAATCAAATCAGAACTCGGTATGACACTTTAAAGTCAGTAAGCATTACTTGTCGGATTTTTCTGAAGTAATAGAAATCTCCAATTGAAGATTCTTCTTAACTTTGTTTGAAATCGATACCAATAAAGAGAGGGGGGAGGGGGAGAGAGATTAGTGTCGCTTAAGAAATGTGAGACGATAAGTAAAAACCAAGTATGTCTACTTCTAAATCTTATTGGTTTATTTTAAGCTGGGCATCTAAATCGTTATTTGTCAGTCTTAGTCTTTTCCGTAAGCTACGATTGCAATTAATCAGTCAAATTTCTTTTGTTTTCTGTGGTGTCAAATTATGCTTCATAAGCATTCTTCTTGCTCGCCGTTAAAGATGCATAATTCTTTCCCTACCACATTCGTACTTGAGTTTTTTAGCAGCATTATTTCCTAGTTGTAGGTCATAGTTTGTAATCGTTGTTCAATGCTTTTCATTTATATTGAATAACTTGAGTGTCGACTTTTCGTCCGTGATCTTTTGTTATGGTCTGATGAGCTTTAAAAAGTCAGTGTTCGTAATAGAAGAACACGCATTACATGTGTTTACGATGGACAAAGTAACTTGAGATTTGTTAGTCTTGTTTTCTAGTGTACTGAATAATAAGAAAACAGTCATCACTAGTGATGTGTATAGTAACTGAATGAGGCATATTCAAATACCACTGAGACTGTATGTCTTCTCGGTCTTGTAGAAAAACTTCATGCATATCAACAAGTTTTGTAATCTCTTTTACCTAAAATGCTAATAACTGTGTTGTAATGCATCCAATATTCTCTGACTATTCTTGATCTGTTCATATCGAAAAGTATAAATGATGATTTTGACTATCTGAGTTAGCCGTGGTTTGGCAGACTAGTACTGATACTGGGTGACGATTAAAAGTGAAATGAAAATTTGGACCGTAGCCGGGTTCAAACAAGTAACCACCAGGTTTTGGACCCGGTGCTCTACCAACTGAACTACGAGGTCCGATTGCTGACCAGATTTTTATTGCACTTCAATGACTATGGGTTTGGCCCCATCTCTAATTCAGTTAGATTTGGATTGGAAGTCCTGACTAGGCAGCCAATGTGAATATGATCAAGCGGTAGTAACGTATCACGAATTCGCTTGATAGTCAAGCAAAACCCATGATGATTAGAGTAAAGTGATAATCTAGTTAGCAGTCGGACCTCGTAGCTCAGTTGGTAGAGCATCGGACCAAAAAGTATAAACAATTATTTGATACTTCCGTTCCCTGTTGAAATGTTACTTACATGTAACTACACAAAGTTCCTCTTATAAATTTTGAATAATAATCAATTTTCTGGTTATTTAAATTCCTTATATTTAAACTAGATATCGATCATTCACAGAATATCCTCTACTTCTTATCACAAATTGTTCTTCAGTGATCACATCTCTATCAGATATATTAAACCAACTATGCGTTGTAAATGAATTTACCGAAGTATTCGCCTATATTTCACAGTTGGTCAAGTTAGATTGTGTTATGCTTCACTTATATGTGTATATTTATTCATTGATTTAGACAAGAGATTATTATTCTACGTGAATTGCTAAGTGCTCAAAGTGCAATATCTGACCTTTTGTTTCTGGAGTCAATTCTTTGTTTAAATAGAGCAAAAAGTGATTTAGATAATTTTAGTAAATTGTTTTCCTCTCAGGTGAGCTTTATCATGTATTTGTGTGAAAATTATCTAACCTCTAATATACCTAAGTATCTTCTACATGGCTATATGGTTCAGAAACTTTAGCGCGTTACGAAAAGCACTTTCAACAAAGCACAAACATTCATCAACAGCTGCCGCCTACGCTCACTCGATACTGAAGATCAGATGGCCAGAAAGAATAAGCAACAAGCAACTCTGGGAACGAACCAACCCAACAAATATGCAGGAGAAAGTGGAGTTGGATTGGGCATACACTGAGAAGGCGGACTGGGGACATCACGCTCCAGACCAGACCCTCGAGTGGAACCTGTGTGGGAAACAAGAAGTTGGGCGTCCATAGTGAGGGTGACATGGAGGGGCTGGTGTGAGGAAGAAATGAAAGCTTCTAGGCAGCCATGCAGCGAGGTTCAAAAGACTGCAGAGAAGAGAGTGCAATGTAGGCGTGCTACTGAAGCCCTATGTTCCACTAGGAACCCAAGGGAAAAATAATAAATAATAATAATCGTTTACAAACATGCCAGCCATATATACACTACTGCAGCTAGCACTACAACAATATTTCGTCTACTAAATTAGCTAATATCAAATTTAAACCTTTTCTATTATGATTTGATCAGGTTCCTAGGCCTCTGAATCAGTTGGGCTTAAAATGTAACTTGACTACTGGTAGTACTGAACAGATAACAGTTTAGAGTTGGTCGTTATCATTAATTACTTCTAAAATATTTCAAAAACAGTCTCACTATCATGGCTATCATTACGTCAATTATGTTTATTAGAAAACTCATATTTGGAACTCAAGGACTTCTCACTGTCATATAATGAAATCATTTTGATGAATTCTGACATCTAAAAATACTAATCATAAGTTGACTATCACTACTTAGGTTGATAATCAACTTTTATGTTTTTAAAGTCTACAACCGAATTATATAATGTAGTATTGTCTCTTATTGATTCATATTTTCCTGCGAAACCTTCACTGTTTAGTTTGTTGGCAGAATGAATATTTATATCTAGATAAAATTAAAATATTCTTCGCAGCCGATATCCTTCTCCTATATCAATCATTTTTGACTGCCCAAATAACGACTCAACTGAAATATTTAGCATTTAGTTAGGAGATAAATTTAAAAGGAATATCCCTGATGGGCAGTTTTTGAGGTACCGTCTGCTGCTTTCATATTCCCCTTACATTTCTTCTTTCTGATAATTACAATGGTTGTCCTGCGACAACCAATGTCAAACGTAAAGTTATTATCTTCCTTGAGTAACTTCTGCAGTATTCAAGTATATGATTTTAACTAGCAAGTTAGATGATGTAGATGCTTTTGTTAAGTTTTACCTGGATTAGTGTTTGTGTCATCAAATTCATCTGCTCATAACTGAAGTGTAGGTAGGAAACCGAGTGTTAGCACTAGTGTGACTGCACAAGATAACGTTCATAAATCTGAGAGGCATCAGAAGAGATGTTAGGCGGTTCCATATTAGTTTATTTGTTATACTACACAGTGATACTGTTATTTTAGAGTAAGTAACACTTACATTAAACCAATCTAATATAGATATAAACTCTACCAAAGTGCTCAAGTCACATACTCTTATACCCATTTAAGTGTCCTACTACTAGTGTAGTTAGAAAAATTGTTGATCAGAGGAAATATTGTTTGTCAGAAACTTTTGTTTTCGGTCAAATCGCGAAAAATCGAAATCCAATCACCAACCTTGTGCAATAGGCCATGAGTCGCACCTATTGCGCTTGGTCTGATGATACTGCCTGGCTGTCCGATAAGTGGAGCGGTGCTCAAACTCATGACCCAATGAGCCATAACTTCATGTTTTTTTAGGTGAATAAAAACTGATGGCAGTTGTTTTATACTTTACTGGGTTGTACAACTGATTTAATGTCTCCGGTGGTGTGATTTGATTCTATCTCTTCATTCAAATTGAGCTATTCTTGTTGATCTGTCGGTGTTAATACCGCGAGGTTGTGGTTCAGTGGTTTAAGGAGGTGATTGTCACGGTTTCGAACCCTGCTCCACCTACTTAGGTTCGGGCTGCAAGGTAATATAACAAGCCCTCACACAATACGTGTGGTTCATCGTCTACTGCAAAGATGTGAAATTTTTAACCCAGATATGCAGCACATACTTCAATAAACTAATTAAGTTGGATTCTGCTGAATTGTGCCTCTGAACACACTAGCACAATCATATTTTGTAGGTTAATGTACGATTACATAGTCTTTGAATTGTACTAGTACTACAGCTACTTGATTTATGTTTTAAACTACCAATCGGTGCATTATAAATTTGAGCTGTGTGCTGTCACCAACTTCCACCTGGCAACTGAATAGTGACATAGATCTCCACATATTACATATGATGCGTAATCCAGTACATAAACCTGTTCTACATAGCTAGAATGTATTGGTTTGCTGTCTCTGAGGACAGGTGGCGTCAGCTTCTTATAGACGCATCTAGCTTAAGAAAATGTTAACGCTTATCAAGATAAATGTGGTCAAATTCTGAATGCAGTTTTATAGATTTTGAAATATCTATTGTCTTATCATGCTGCTGAATTAACTTGTGTTTGCTTCCATTTTAGCAGCAGAGGACTGCTCCACTTGGTAAACAACCATCACTCTCATCATTACTGGAGTGTTTTTATGCGCATTTGCTAAGCAAATTTACATTGTATTGGTTTGAAATTTTGTCTCGTTCTACATCTGGTGTGCATGAAATTGAACCAACAGTGAATTCAGAAAATCCAGATTTAGTTACTAGGTAAGCAAATTTTTTAGTTTATCATAATTATTTTCATCTGAAGAGTGTTCTGTATTGTTGAATTCCCAATATCCAGAAGTGCTTTGTCACTCAATTGTTTCATGATTATTATCCATTACGTATGTCAAGATTCTTACATTTTCTAGAAATGGAAAAAAGTGATAAACAAATAAATTTTATGGGGATGCACTTTACCAACTATTGAGATACACGTTAATCAAAAGATCAGACCCTCAACAGTCAATAGAACCTAAAAGCGTCAATGCTTAAAAACTATCCTCTTAAGTTTATTAAAAAAACTGTAAGCAGAATATGACCAATAGTAGCAGCATTAATTTTGAGGGAAAGATATGAGAATTCGTATTTAAAATTTCAGCTTGACGTGAACAATGTTACGAAGAGATCTGGGATATCAAGAAGCTGTAGCTCTATAGTCTCTACAACAATACAGGTACTTGGGACTGTAAACGCTGATTCTAGGTTACACTTCATCATGGAGTGATATCAGTTAGAGGAACATTGAAAACCTAGGAGCACTGGACAGCTGTTCCGTCCTAGCATGGGACTGAGCAGTGCGCGCCCATGACCCTCAGGTTCCGCGACCAGCACGTTACCATTGAGCTATTGGGTTGGTGTTAACCAGGTCGAACATGAAGACAGTTACTTAACGATGGCATTGGATGTAGGTCGCACTGTATCGTGAACTGATAGAAGTAGGAAATATAGACGATTAGATTCTGACCCACTGGCTCAATGGTAGTGTGTTGACCGTGAAACCCGAAGGTCCTTGGTTCGACCCGTGGGTAGGTCATGAGTACGCACTGCTGAGGAGTTCCATACTAAAATGAAACAGTTGTCCAATACCCCTTGGCTTCCAATGTCCCTCCAGTTGATATTAGTCCATGATGAATTCCAACCTGAAATCAATTAATAAATCTCCACAAACCTCCAGATTGTAAAAGCTGTCTCAAAGTTCTGCAGTTCTGCCATTATGTGATTAGGAAGAATAGGATCCAAAATATCCAGTAAGTGATACTTTGTCATCATATGACATCTGGAAATCAAAGTAGAATTATGTTCTACACTAGTGTTCAACTTCTACCTTTTATGTAACCTCATGAGATATCTTTTGTATTCCCTAGACCAATTTACAAGTTATTCGGTAAATGCTTATCGTATTCAGATCCTTGAAGTGAATAATTTTTTTCAGCCTGCAATTATTTTCATAGTAAGACGTCTGTGTCAGATTTTCTCTCCACAAAGATTATTTTTAATTTGAGGCCATCTTAAGCTAAAATGATTGTATAGTATAACTATACTTCTTCATGAATTCTGTAAATATCTTACGTTACACTGAATACAACTGAATTTTATTGGTTCAAGGTTTACAGGCTATATTATGAGTGAATAAAAGCCATCGATAGATGTATGAAAGATGATTTTTTTTCTTAATAAAATAAACAATGTGAGCGAAGAAATGTTTATTTTCAATTAGTTCCTCATCAATGGCTCTACACTAATATAGCATTTTCAAACGTAAAATTACATACCAATCTAGTGGTAAGAGTTGTTCAATGAAAGGTTATCAATCTCAAAGTATCAAGAAGGTGATAATTGACCAGGTAATTAAGACAGTTAACTAAAGCAAAGATTAATTATCGTAGAAAGATTTTGTGAACAGGTTCTTGCATAATTGATATTTTGTATAATGATAACTAAAGAGTGAAAATGAACTGTTACATAAAATGGTAAATTGTTGACGGCAATTAGAGACAGTAGGGGGAGAGAAAGATGGTTAAGTCTGTAGTAATAATAATAATAATGACAATAATAATAATAATAATAATAATAATAATAATAATAATAATAATAATGGAGCTATTAAAATATTAGTTATAGTGAATTGTGTGGTGGATGAAATGAAGAGTCTTGTTGTAATAAATGAGCTATATAGATGGTCAAGGCAAAGAAAGAGGGTGTACGAGTCTCTTCTGAACACACAGACTCGGCTTGTGTAGATGGATTCCTATGGCTTCTGCTGTATGTAAAAGACGAACTCGTAGAGGATGGGTGAGGTGGGAAGGAATGTGATAAATAACTTTAAAGACATTATGAATGTTAACTCGGTGGCTGGTGTCAATCAGATGAGAGAGTATTGAGCTTCGTATCAATCTGGTTTCCCCCTTACTTAGCCATGAAGGATGATGCTCGGCGATTCGACGACGGACTTGCCTAACTGTACGTCCAATGTAGCTAGCTCCACAGGAGCAGTTGAACTGGTAAATGCACATAGAAGAGGAGAAGTCAGAGAGTCTGTCTTCAGTTCGTATGGTCCTCATCGGCCGGCTGTAGAAAACACAACTTGGCGGCATTAAATGATCTTCTCATGGCATTTCTTAAGCGTTGTGTCACAATTTCGCTGATGATGTCGTTAAAATTAAATAATACGTAGATCAAAGTATAAATAAACCACACATGTTCTGAGATCAGTCTGTTGGTGGATTTAGTAATCTTATAACTATGAAATTGAATTCAAGGATGTATAATTTTAAAACATTTTGATAAAGCAACTCAGTCCATCTGAAAAGTTGACATGACTTTTGCTGCGAACTATGTGATTTTAACAGCAGTTTACTGATCGGCGTTTTACTCTATAACTGTTTTTCACGTTAATTATAGTTAACAGATAGAAACCAAAGCAAGCAATTAAATGAATGATCCTAAGGAACCAGTCAGATAACGTGATAGCAAATATTTGTTGTCAATTGTAAAAATAATAATTTCCCTGTATGCATTTGAAGAAAATAGAGCCAATTTCTGTACATGAATTCATGTTCATTTTTCGGGACCGTGTCATTTTGCTGTTTTTGAATTGGAATCGTTAATCGAAATAATCCTCCCCTTATATGGTTCCGTTTCAATCACATAAAAATCTTAATATTTTGAAGTCCTGTCTAACAAACTTCACCTCGTAGCACAAAGAGCACTTAAAGGCCTTAAATTGTACATCACATCTGTATTTGCGCGAAATGTTTTTATGCATCAATTCGCTTCTGGCATAGCACTGAGTTACTATATAAGGATGCAAACAGGGAAAGTACACTGGACAGTTAAGATATTGTTTGATAAACTGCAAAGTTTTGTGACTGGCCATTCAAAATCGTATACTTGATCCTTGAGTTGTTTTCGTAACCTCAAGCTTTACCGCATAATGTTGAAAGTGTACAATAGCTAAACTTCAGGCAATTTCCTGAATATAGGTGGCTGTATATCTAGAGTCTTATGTTATCATAGTAAATAATATGTTGAACTTCTTACTCTACTTACAATGTAATTTAAAACATTTCATATACCTATGAACCTTACACTGACTGTTACTATTAATACAGACCTGACCAGCGATATTGACTACCGGTTTTCTAGTATTGCTTCTGTATGACATTTCTTTGTTTTTGTTTTTCCTTTTTTCTATTAGCATTACAAAATTTCAACAGGAAACTGGTGCGCTAAACATTTCATTATTGTTTGATACAACTTGTCAGTCATTTCCATTCCTTGGACATGGTTATGTTTTAAGAGGTTCTTTTGGTGATGCACCTAAAGGAATTGAAAGTATTCCACCAATTTTTACTGCTCCATTGGTATGTAGTTTGTTTATTTTTAGAAATTACGTTTTTTCACCTGAGATACACGTATCGTTCATTTCATAGGGTCAACCAACTTATTGCGTTTTTTTGTATAAAGCATGGAAGTGATACATAAGAAGTGTAGATAACGCATAACCTGAAATAAATTAAAAACAGTAAAAAAAGAAACACGAACGGGCAAATATGTTCATGTAGTAGGCGATGAAGGATACCTATTATCTGGAAGTTAATGATTGTAACCAGCTGCCAGAGGCACGGTAGACGGGGTTGGCCTTGAAACCGTAACCTACTAGTCAAAAGTTGAGTGCCTAGACCAACTGGCCATAGTCCCATATTGATAGTCGTGCTGGGACCAGATGTAATTGTACCGATAATAATGATGGTAATAATAATAATAATAATAATAATAATAATAATAATAATAATAATAATAATGAAGGTAGCTATCGAATAAGTACCTTGGCCAGGTGGAAGTGCATCTCTTATTTTTTTTTCTAAAAAAGGTCACTAACTTTTCTTTTCAGCTGTCTGATAGCACCCCAATTGACTGAATTAAATGGTCTGTGGAACTTCAACCAAAGTTTCATAATAGATCAACTTATACTTACCAAAAATAAATATGCCCCATTCCGCAGTCCTATATCATATACCAACCATGATTTTTTAAGTCAGTCACATTACCAGCGAAAAATAATGCTCTCATGACAAGTTGTTAGTTTGGCATATGTCAAGTTTGCACGAATTCATCACTAGACAACATTGACTATTCATTTCTAGGTGTTTAGCTTAGTTTCCCATCTTATCACTAAGTGAATCTATGCAACACTTCAGTATCTTATGTTTCCGTGATAGTTGTCAGAAACACTCAAACAGTAAACCCTGATCTTGCATTTCCCTTTCCTTTGCACTCATCAACAAGTCACTTCCCTAGAGATTTGAACTCGGGACACTCAACCCTGACGATACGCTTTTCACCATTCGACTATTCAAGTTACGAACAACGCCCCCCACCCCCCCATTCGACTGCATTACTTACAGGAATCGGTCACCTGGTGATAGCTAATGTAGCTATCAATAATTCCCTAAGTGTTTAGCAATCACTGAAGTGTTTAGAAGTCGGGAAAAAATGAGAGACATTAAGCAGCATCCCTTAAGAAACCTGGATGGAAGAACACTGAAACTCTTTGAAAGAGACGCGGAAGAAAACCTGCACAACCGTGTTAGTAAGGAAGAGGACAAGGACAAGACAATTGAATGGATCTCCACAAACAAATGGAAGCTGATAGAGCAGCGAGAAGAAGATGGTGAAGCAGAAGATGAACCAGTGCAATGCAGTGAAGTGCAGTGCACGGGTGAACAACGAAAAGAGGAACTGAGTACAACCTATAAAACACTACACTGGACAAAGAAGTGGAGAAGAGTACACGGAAAGACAAAAGACACTTCTACAACACACTTGCAAGTGAAGCAGAACAGACTGCAGGCAAGAGAGATAGAGACATGACAACATTATATCAAATAACCAGGTTACTATCTGGTAGGGAAGACATCAACGCAGATGAAACCAATGAGAGATAGTGAAGGAAACCTAGTTACCACCAATGAGGAGAAACAAAGAAAACGATGGTCTGACCACTTTGAAAAACTCTTGAATCGACCACCAACACCTCCAACTCCCTCAGAAATACAACCAGCAGTCCAGCCACAGAACTATCAGTGAACACAAGCCCTCCGACAAACGCCGAAGTGAAGTCCTGAACGCCACACCATAAAGTTGCTGAAATCTGGGAAAGCGGCAGGACCAGATGGAATTCCTCCAGAAGCACTGAAAACAGACACTGAGACATCAGCAGCGGACATGATCACACCACACAACTATTGCAGAAGGTTTGCAAGGAAGAAAGGAAGGAAAGGTACCTGCCCACTGATTGGAAGAAGCACTACCTTGTTAAACTCCCAAAGAAGAGTGGGCAACCTGAGTCTTCACAAGAACTGGCACGGAATCATGCTCCTGTCCACCCAAAGCAAGCAAAGTTTTAACCCGCATCATCCTGGAGAAATTGAGAAATGCCCTGAATTCAAAACTACGACCGCAACAGGCTGGCTGGTTGGCTGGCTAGCTTCAGGAAGAGCAAATCATATGCCGATCAAATTGCAAGGCTACGCTACGCATCATCATAGAACAGAGCGTAGAATGGCAGTCAACTCTATACCTCAACTTGATTGATCGACTTCGAAAGCGTCGACCGAGAAGTAATGTGGCAGGCAGCTGCTTCAACACTACTGCTTTAGTGCCACAAACCTTTATCAACCTCATTCAACAGCAGCTATATGCTGTCCTATATGATGAGGCTACGTGCCAAGTGATTCACAATGGAAAGCTCAGTGATGCCTTTGAAGTGAAGAAGACAGGGGACAGGAGTAAGACAAGGTTGCCGCCTACTGTCACCGATGATCTTCCTGATTGTGATGGACTGGACTGGAACATGCAACAGACAACTGTGAGGAGTGAGAAGAGGGGGATACGCTGTTTGACCGATGAAAAGACCCTAGAAGAATATTTGGACTTCGCTGATGAGGATTTATGTCTAATGTTGCACAAGTTCGAAGATCTTGTAGACGAAAACCAACAAGTTGACAGAAGAGACAGGGTAACGAAAATCGAACTTCAGGTGAACGTAGTGAAAACAGAGGTGATGAAGATACCCAACCAACAACAACAACAAGCACCAATCACCATCAACGGGAGAAACCTAAAGGAAGTTGTCTCATTCACCTACCTACCTACCTACCTACCTAGACAGCATTGTTTCAACTACAGACGGTGGTGGTGGCGGCGGCGGCAGTGGCACAGATGAAGACGTCAAAGCCACAATCGGAAAAGAAAACCAGGTCTTCATCAACCTGAAATCAGTGTGGAGATCTACTCCACTCCACTGCACTCAGCATAAAGTGTGAACAAGATCCAGATTCCCAACACTAATTCAGTCAAATCAGTGTTTCTGTGTGATGGTTGAGAGACTTAGCACATTACGAGAAGCATTTCCAACAAACTACAGACATTCATCAACAGCTGCCGTCTATGCTCACTCGATACTGAAGATCAGATCAGATCAGATGAGATGGTCAGAATAATAAGAATAAGCAACAAGGAACTCTGGTTGGCTGGCAACGAACTAACCAACAACCCATCGCCCAATAAATATGCAGAAGAAGAAAGTGGAGATGGGTCATATTGGACATACACTGAGGAGACCATTTGGGGACATCACGCGCCAGGTCAGGCCGTCGAGTGGAACTTGTGTGGGGAACGACGAGTAGTTGGGTGTTCGAGATGGGGGTGACATGGAGGAGATCGTGTGAGGAAGAAAGGAAAGCTTGTGGGCAGTTGTGGAGCCGGGTTGGGAAGATTGTAGAGGAGAGAGTGCAGTGGTGACGGGTTACTGAAGCCGTGTGTTCCACTAGGAACCCAAAGGACAAATAATAATAGTGAAGTTCGCTTCATAAGATGCATTCATGGATTGAATGATGATTTCTTTGACACCGAACCATTCATGTTTGTGTAAGCGTGTTACTTTCCAGGTGCTGTCACTGAATGAGATGGGTATAATGATGACAACATTGATGCATCATAGTTATTATGCATTACTAGTCACCAAGGCGTAAATGCTGTTAGTTCAGCATGTATGTTGTAGCTAAGCGAAAATGTTTCTTCTGGTGCAAAGCACTCACCACCGTCATGTTGTTTTCGTTAGAGTTACATCAAGGCTTTTGTCTGTACAGTGTTAAAAAGAAAAGAAGAGAAAGGCGATTCATGTAAAAACCATATTGGTTGTACTTATAATATCTCTTTGAGTTTATATGTTTGTTTGGAAGTCAAGTTTTTTTTCTTGATAAAAGACGTCTGTTAGTAAGAGTTTCCTCCAACTTTTCTTTCCTTTTTCTGTCCAATTACATACTGCTCAAAACTCCACATTAAAACTTTGGTTTCATAACTTTCCATATTTACATGTATACCATATAAAGAATACATTTATATTGACTCGTGGCTATTTTACGTATGATGAACCCTAACACACCAGGGTGTTGTGTTGTTTCCAACAGATATAGCTGAATGTCACTCTGAAATCGTAAACTGGTGTTGGATTCGGAAAATCAAATTGCATTCAGATAGTGAGTTATATATATATATATATATATATATATATATATATATATATATATATATATATATATATATATATATATATATTGTGTGAAGGCTAGTAATACTACCCGGTTGTTCACACCTCATGGTATACGGGGAATGTAGTGTTGTAATTTTACCTGTAGTACAACTATCATCATTTTCTTATATTTATCCACTACAGGGTAGTTCATTATCTCCAGTTGATGTATATACAATTGTTATGCAGATTAACAGTACACTTCATCATGGTAATGATGATGAGAAAGGTGATGTTACTGAACTATCAAAACAACCGCGATATATATACGATGAAAAATTGAACCACACCTATTATATCAAGAAATTAGAATGTCGTGTGTTTTTAGCCTTAGTCTATGAAGGCTTAAAATCACATAAAGATAAAGTCATCAGTGAATTTATATCAATGCTTACGGATACAGTGTGTTTACGTAAAGTTGTCAATCTACTGCAACAAGGTCAACAAATACCATCGTCGTCATCATCATCATCTGATCGAAATTATCTACGATCATTATTTTTCCATTGAATTTTCTTATCTGCTTCTATATATAAATATACAATAGACTTTTAGCACTTTCAGTTTCGATAATTAATACGGCAAAATTTCCATTGTCTTTCGCTTGTATTGTAAGGAAAATGTGTGAATGTTATATTCTAAATTCAATAAAATAAATATATAATTTTCAGCCTTTTATTTTTTACTGTGACATGCACATTCTACTTCAAATGTGACAACAAGATCACCCGTAAGTCAACAAAATGTAAAGTTTACGTGTGAAACAAGGTGATATTTGTATCTTCTGTAATACGGCTCAGATCAATCCTTATCATTGTCATTGAAAATGGCTATTAGGTGCTCATGTGAATTATTTGTGGTGCACCAATCAGTTCTACATTGTTCTTCAGAGATATCTGCAATCAAAACTCACTAACCTTTGTATAAATATTTGAACGTATCTTGACCAATAATAGACTGGAAGGTTTGGAAAAGCTTGGACACCGAGTTAGTATGATTCGTCGTATAAAGTGTATTTTATTTGCATAGCATATTAAAACAAATAATAAACAAAACATATTTTATATTATTCCTTAACGTTTCAATCTTACTAGAAAGATCTTTTTTAAGAATATGAATCTGACAGGTTAATATATTGAGATGTTGGTACAGAAGGTGACCTTTATGATCATTTGATTACATCGTGATATGGAACAAAGATCAAAGCAGTGCGAGTGAATGAATTAGCAAATCGATCAGAGAACCTTTTCATGGTTGTACAAATAAAGTGGATCAAAACTAGGGTGGAAAAGTTTTGTTCGATAATAAAAAGTACAATGGAATTGTGAGTCAGCCATAAGAAGTAAGTGTAAATTACCATTTTGGAAAGATGAAAATTTAAAAATCGAACAATATACGATCAGTCGAGATACTAACAATCGTAATAATAATGAAGATACTTATACTTATGATAACAAAATCGATTATGTAGTATGTAGAATAGTTCATAGACTAAGTTAACTCCGAAGGTTTCGTAAAATGGATGAAAATAATGAATCACTAAAGTATTATGTGGCAATAATTAGAAAAGTTCTTAAAATAACACACACTTTTGGAAGAAATGAAGACGATTAACAAAATAACACCGTAAACTATTGGGAGATGAATGCTCTCGGAACAAATCCTGTTATTTGTTTTAATACACTACGTCACGATTATTATTGTTATTATTTGTCCTTTGGGTTCCTAGTGGAACATACAGCCTCAGTAACCCGTCACCACTGCACTCTCTCCTCTACAGTCTTTTCAACCTGGCTCCACAACTGCCCACAAGCTTTCCTTTCTTCCTCACACGATCTCCTCCATGTCACCCCACCTCGAACACCCAACTACTCGTCGTTCCCCACACAAGTTCCACTCGACGGCCTGACCTGGCGCGTGATGTCCCCAAATGGTCTCCTCAGTGTATGTCCAATATGACCCATCTCCACTTTCTTCTTCTGCATATTTATTGGGCGATGGGTTGTTGGTTAGTTCGTTGCCAGCCAACCAGAGTTCCTTGTTGCTTATTCTTATTATTCTGACCATCTCATCTGATCTGATCTGATCTTCAGTATCGAGTGAGCATAGACGGCAGCTGTTGATGAATGTCTGTAGTTTGTTGGAAATGCTTCTCGTAATGTGCTAAGTCTCTCAACCATCACACAGAAACACTGATTTGACTGAATTAGTGTTGGGAATCTGGATCTTGTTCACACTTTATGCTGAGTGCAGTGGAGTGGAGTAGATCTCCACACTGATTTCAGGTTGATGAAGACCTGGTTTTCTTTTCCGATTGTGGCTTTGACGTCTTCATCTGTGCCACTGCCGCCGCCGCCACCACCACCGTCTGTAGTTGAAACAATGCTGTCTAGGTAGGTAGGTAGGTAGGTAGGTGAATGAGACAACTTCCTTTAGGTTTCTCCCGTTGATGGTGATTGGTGCTTGTTGTTGTTGTTGGTTGGGTATCTTCATCACCTCTGTTTTCACTACGTTCACCTGAAGTTCGATTTTCGTTACCCTGTCTCTTCTGTCAACTTGTTGGTTTTCGTCTACAAGATCTTCGAACTTGTGCAACATTAGACATAAATCCTCATCAGCGAAGTCCAAATATTCTTCTAGGGTCTTTTCATCGGTCAAACAGCGTATCCCCCTCTTCTCACTCCTCACAGTTGTCTGTTGCATGTTCCAGTCCAGTCCATCACAATCAGGAAGATCATCGGTGACAGTAGGCGGCAACCTTGTCTTACTCCTGTCCCCTGTCTTCTTCACTTCAAAGGCATCACTGAGCTTTCCATTGTGAATCACTTGGCACGTAGCCTCATCATATAGGACAGCATATAGCTGCTGTTGAATGAGGTTGATAAAGGTTTGTGGCACTAAAGCAGTAGTGTTGAAGCAGCTGCCTGCCACATTACTTCTCGGTCGACGCTTTCGAAGTCGATCAATCAAGTTGAGGTATAGAGTTGACTGCCATTCTACGCTCTGTTCTATGATGATGCGTAGCGTAGCCTTGCAATTTGATCGGCATATGATTTGCTCTTCCTGAAGCTAGCCAGCCAACCAGCCAGCCTGTTGCGGTCGTAGTTTTGAATTCAGGGCATTTCTCAATTTCTCCAGGATGATGCGGGTTAAAACTTTGCTTGCTTTGGGTGGACAGGAGCATGATTCCGTGCCAGTTCTTGTGAAGACTCAGGTTGCCCACTCTTCTTTGGGAGTTTAACAAGGTAGTGCTTCTTCCAATCAGTGGGCAGGTACCTTTCCTTCCTTTCTTCCTTGCAAACCTTCTGCAATAGTTGTGTGGTGTGATCATGTCCGCTGCTGATGTCTCAGTGTCTGTTTTCAGTGCTTCTGGAGGAATTCCATCTGGTCCTGCCGCTTTCCCAGATTTCAGCAACTTTATGGTGTGGCGTTCAGGACTTCACTTCGGCGTTTGTCGGAGGGCTTGTGTTCACTGATAGTTCTGTGGCTGGACTGCTGGTTGTATTTCTGAGGGAGTTGGAGGTGTTGGTGGTCGATTCAAGAGTTTTTCAAAGTGGTCAGACCATCGTTTTCTTTGTTTCTCCTCATTGGTGGTAACTAGGTTTCCTTCACTATCTCTCATTGGTTTCATCTGCGTTGATGTCTTCCCTACCAGATAGTAACCTGGTTATTTGATATAATGTTGTCATGTCTCTATCTCTCTTGCCTGCAGTCTGTTCTGCTTCACTTGCAAGTGTGTTGTAGAAGTGTCTTTTGTCTTTCCGTGTACTCTTCTCCACTTCTTTGTCCAGTGTAGTGTTTTATAGGTTGTACTCAGTTCCTCTTTTCGTTGTTCACCCGTGCACTGCACTTCACTGCATTGCACTGGTTCATCTTCTGCTTCACCATCTTCTTCTCGCTGCTCTATCAGCTTCCATTTGTTTGTGGAGATCCATTCAATTGTCTTGTCCTTGTCCTCTTCCTTACTAACACGGTTGTGCAGGTTTTCTTCCGCGTCTCTTTCAAAGAGTTTCAGTGTTCTTCCATCCAGGTTTCTTAAGGGATGCTGCTTAATGTCTCTCATTTTTTCCCGACTTCTAAACACTTCAGTGATTGCTAAACACTTAGGGAATTATTGATAGCTACATTAGCTATCACCAGGTGACCGATTCCTGTAAGTAATGCAGTCGAATGGGGGGGTGGGGGGCGTTGTTCGTAACTTGAATAGTCGAATGGTGAAAAGCGTATCGTCAGGGTTGAGTGTCCCGAGTTCAAATCTCTAGGGAAGTGACTTGTTGATGAGTGCGAGAAATCTGGATACAGGTTTCCTTCGTCGTTCATATCACCGAGAGGTACTGTACGCATGATTAATTTTTGTGCTTTGATGTCTGCTCTGGGTTTAGCATTCTTGTCGCCCATTAGAATTTCTGCTTCACCGTCTAGGCTTAGTTCTGGCTCAGGACTGATTGCAGTTGTCTGTAGAATTTATGCTTTTCTCTTGATCTGGATTATTTGTGGTTGTGTAGCGTAGCGTAGCATTTTATGATTGTGCCTTTCCTTCCTTTTGATTTGATTCCATCTTGCTGTCATGATCCTGATTGTGGAGGATGGGATTGGTTGCTACTGCATGAGAGGGAGCCTTCGATGCTTTTCGGTAGATCATGATAAGCAGTCGTGATTGTAGTCTAGATGACAATATCGGTTTACATTTTTGATTTTCTAGCTGACAGTTTGGAGAATCCACTTCCATTCCATCTGCAGGTTCCTTGCAGATTCGTAGCACTTCTATGCTATATCTTCTCGTTTCTTTTGCAATCTGGAAGCCTTGCCAGCCACCGCCAAACATTGTGTGGACTTTCCATGTCCCTATGCTTACTTTTGCTTTCATCGAGAGAGAGAGAGAGAGAGAGAGAGAAGACCTATCGACCAATTGACTTCCCGAAGACTTTCACCAACCGTGGTCATTTCGTCTCTCCGATTCCAGCGAGGAGTAAGTTTATTTTAATTTTATGTATTTTCTTTGTTCTCCGAAGTTTTTTTTAGCGATTGGATTAGTTCTCGGGGAGTAGAGTTGTTAGCCCTATGCCCAACCTTCGCTCGTTATTATACACTACTAACGTACAACCTTCAGGAAGCTTCCAGTATAATTTATGTGCTTCATAATGATAAAAACCTTTGACAAGCATCATTTCTTCGTAAACTCGTATGAAGTCATTCCAGTGATCAGTATCCATTGTCGTGTTTCGAAGTGTTATTGGTATATTATTCAGTCACACCAAACAACTAACCGGTCATCAAGTTTCTATTGTACATGCAGAAAGAAGGCAGCCTTCTCCGCATGATATCCGAATAAATAAATTGATTTGAAGAGTCTTTATTAGAAGAACTGGGAACTACACCCAAGATATTCAGAAATTTACTCAATTTTTAAACTAAACAGTTAACATTGAACTTTTCTCATGAGAGGTGCTAGAATTAATTACTAGAGGTCATGTACTGAATCGTTTAAAATCACTCCCGATTTTTCGTCTTATTATTTCATTGTTCTTGCGATATTGCCTCAATTACGATCTTCTGTTACAGACGATCAAAATCTACAGCTCACAAGATTGATTGAATTTCATTAGTTACAACAACTAGGTGGTACTCCGTTTGTCAATGTGATTGGCTCCCCATCTACTTATCAAGAA